GTATAGAAAAGGAAAGAAAAAGTGATGCTGGCTCGATGCTATTTTCGTGACAGATATCGTATAAACAGGTCGTTTCTTCGTTTCACACTCTCTTCTCTCACATTTTAACCCTCGTCACCTCATTAACCACCCACCAGCTTTCTCCCTTGCATCATCCGATACTGACTTTGGGCGAAGACTGATCTGATCAACTCGACTCGTTACCCAGAGGAAAACAAACTCACCATGTACGTACTATTCCTCAACGCCTGCGTACTCAATTTCCCAGAACTCATCGACATGGCCACTTTGGAAGCAGATGATGTCAAATGAGGATTGTGTCCCGAATGTCGAGCCATCAACGGTGTAGGTGGAGATATCAACAACCCCTGCCCTGCCTTTTTCTCCTTCTCCTTGCCGTTGCTACTACTACCCGGAGAAGTCATCTGATGGAGTAACCTGGTGGAAGGAGTAGAACGTTCGCTCAATCGTTTATCATCTCTCGAACTTGGCAGAGCACGCCGTTTGCCAGCGAGAATGTAAGGGTGTCGCATGGCCGGTTGAGGTTTAAGACGCTTGTCAGGATCCCAGGTCAAACATTTGGCGATAAAGTCGACAAACAACTCGTCGTCACATTTCAGCACTTGGAACAGGGTCTTGGTCCCCGGTCGACGACGTTTCCCTTTGGCGTTGACGAAGGGTCGTGGTGCTCCAGTGGCATCTGCCATCAGCACACTTTCCATGTCTCCCAAGTTCCATCACACAGCCTGAACTCACCAAAGAATATCTTACGACGGGAAGCTTTCTCAATGATATGTCGCTCGGGTACCCCGAGCACTTCCATGATACAGGCCAGCTGCTCATGTTCGTTCTCTCCTGGAAACAGGGGCACACCAGTGTACAACTCAGCCATTATACATCTATCTGTCAGCAGGATCCCCATCATCCCAGTCGATAGACTCACCCCACACTCCACATGTCAATGGCCATAGCATAGTTCATACCCAATATGACTTCCGGACTTCGGTAGAACCTCGACTGAATATACGTATAAACTGAACATCAGCATCGACCCCGAATGGTCTTGAAACCACACCCACCCTTTTCAGTTTCCAAACAACTACTGCCAAAATCGATAATCTTGATCCCCGATTTGCTCGGATGACACAGGAGAATGTTCTGCTCGTCAGCTGATACAACTATTAAAGCAACACAAACACACCTCGGGCTTCAGGTCGCAGTGAACCACTCTATGCGATCTCATCAATTGCAAACCCGCCAACATCTGCGTAGTGAAACGTCTGATCAAGACTGTCGAAAAGCCCGCAAATTGATTCGCCTTGATCAACTCGTACAGGTTGATACTCAAAAGTTCCGTGACGATACACAAATGTCCTCTGAAGTAGAAATGGTCCGTCATCCTGACCATAAAATGCTTGTCCTCTGGATCCCATTGCACCAGATCTTGCAAGATCTTGACTTCCACCAATGCCTGTTGATGAAACCTCTTCTTGTTCCGTATAATCTTGACAGCGACAGAGACACCCGTCTTGTGATCTCGACATTGGACTACTTGACCAAAGGAACCTTTCCCCAGGATCCCGACGACTTCGTATCGATAACACAGATGATCGCCTTCGACAACAATGTAATCTCCCCTTTCATCATCATATCCGCTGTTGTAAATGACACTGTTCGCCGAGGAGGGACGAGAGATACGAGATGGGGGAGAATAGTAAATATAATCAAAGTCAAGAACCTCTTTACGCTCCAAATCGGACATCCTCGCCAGGTTCTTTGTGATGTACGATCGCTGACTGACGGGTTCCGCGGGTGGGACATCCTCGGGAAAGCCTTGTACGTCTGTAAGATCCTCCTTCTTTCCCGCGGCTTTACGAGCTTGTCGTCGCTTCACATACGCCTTCATTTCCGCATCCCCAAGCACTTCATCATCCTCAAATGGACTAGGCGAGGAGGAGTCTCCCACCAGAGCAGAAGACCGGAAGGTCGTGGCAGAGCCAGGAGCCCCGACAGACGAAGAAGAGGTGATTCGGGCCGAGCGTGGTACGCCGAGTTTTGAGTGCAGAGATTTGGAGGCTTTCATAGTACCCTGATCTTCCTCCACGCCACTCGACGTGTCCTTGGAGCTTCGTCGGCTTGCGGTGGGTCGAAGGTCCTTCGAGGTTCGCTTGGCACTTGCTGAGATTGTCATGGCAGTTGCGGAAGATGGAAGGGTGGGGAGGTGACGTTTGGAAGGTGGCACACCTTCAGGTCTCGGCGGCTCAGATGGACGTACAACTGGACGACGAGCTTCAGGTCTAGATGACATAGGTGCTAGAAGATGGGCACGATGGGAGATTGAGGTGGACTGTCGTGGCTGAGAGGTATTCCCCAAGGTCCCGAATTCGCTGACTCTACCTTTGCCCAGCTCAGCCATGCTCATCGTCGCCGTCATGGTTCTTGCCGTGACAGGTTGGAGGGTCGTGCTGCGGCTGTGTGTCATTGTGCTGGGTAGAACAGGAGGAGGCATGCTTCCCCCTCCTCCGACAGAGGGCTGAGCAGGCGAGACGATTGGTCGACTGGCGATCCGAGGGATTCTTGTGGCCAGACTAATCGCATCGGAGGATTGTTTGAGTGACGATGTCGACGAGACATGCTTCATCGAAGGAGAACCAATGATTGATGGCAGATCGCTCTTGCGGTTGAGCGTGGCACCGTTGACCGTGGATTCGCTTCTGTTGGATGACACAGATCCACGAGCGCTGCGTAACGATCCCTCGACCGATGGTTTCGTCTTGACGGCGTGTCTCTCCGGAGCCAGTTGGGGAATGGACGGAGAATCAGCAGAGATGGAGAGCGTTTTCCCTCTCTTCCGACCCGTCCAACTGACCTTCGTATCTGTCTTTTCTTCCACCGGTTCCAGTGATTGAGGTGGAACGGCAGTCTGAGGAGCAGGCAAAAGCTGTGCCGATAAGCCACGTTTGGACGCGCTCCCTCGTAGCATCGAAGGCAAGTGCATACCCAACATGGACTTCCGGGTCGAGTTTGTCGAGGTATTGGACATCGTGCGATTGTTGGGAGGGGGTAATGCTGATTTGGGAGTTTCTGGTACGGGCTCTGTGACCTTTTGTATTGAGGATGAAGAGGCACGGCGGAAAAATGGAATAGACGATGGTGTCAGTCGAAGACCAGCTGAACTAGGTTTGACGAGCGTGGCAGCTGGCGCGACAGGGGTGGTGCTGTAGCTCGATCGAGAATCCACAGTGGGAGGCGAGTTGAGGTCGGTACGCTGGACATCCAACCATGACATTTGAGGACTGACGACGGGTTCTTCACTCGGCGCTTCAGAGGGAGAAGGAGGTTCCCGACTGTGGAGCTTGAGATTGAGAGCAGAGGAGAAAGACCATTTCTTCTCCATAGGTCGGCGCTCGGCAGTGACAGGTAGTGCTGGTGGGGCAGGAGCAGCAGATGAGGGATCACCCGCCAAAGGGACGAATGCAGGTTGTGCCGCAGTGGAGAGACCTTGACGCATTGAGATGTAGCCTTTTGGAAGTGGAGGTACAGGAGGGACGACCCTTTCGCGGGGTTTACCACTTGTTTCCGGCGCATCGCTGAAGGTCGAGACATCGCTGCCACCGCTGATACGCCGAGTCTTGTCACCCTTGACGGCCGAAGTAGAGGACGGTGTGGTAGAGCTGGTCGGCATAGACTCACGCGACGTTGGAGTACCCGCAAAACTGGTAGAGGAGGATGATTCCCGTTTGTCTCCCTTAGTCGCCTCGGTGGCCCCATCCTTGGTCCGTCCGCGCATCGACGCAGCTACTTCTTCCGCAGAAACATTCACCCACGCATTCAAAGGCGAGTCCTTGCCATGTTGGTTCTCCTTCAAACTACCATGGCTTGATCCTCCTGTCAAACGCTTGTCAGCCGATCGACGTTTACTCGGTGGAGGTGTGCCCGGTCGACTTGCAAGACTTGAGGCGCCGGTCGACATTTTGCTCTTCAATGATTTCCTGCCTGGAGTACTACCCAAACCGTCCAGCTTTCGCAATGCTTCTGCTGTAGAAGCATCAACCTCTCTGCCTTCCCAGCCCGACTTGCCAAGCTTCGAATGATGCGAGTCGGATCTCTGAAGTGAAGCTGTCTTAGACATTGTCTGAGCAAAGTACGACGTGGACGGACTGAGGGTATCGCTAGGCGGGGAGCCCGCGCCGCCCATGGTGAAATTGCTGATGGAACCAGAGCCACGAAGAAACTGATTGATCGACGCGCTGGACGGGCTAGGGGGAAGGTGGGAGAAGTCTTTGGGTGCAAAGTGCTTAATAATCTCATGACTAGGACTTTGACGCAGTTTCGCTAGCGTGGCATCCCGATCCTTTGCAGGCGGCGTCTTTCTGCTATGGCGTTGGTGTCTTTGTGAGGTCTGCGAGTCGGCCGAGTGAGGGGGTGAGACTTTTGACGCGGTTCGCACGTGCCCATAAAGCGGTTGAGAATTCAGAGCTCCGGAGGTGGAGGTCGTCAAAGCTTCCGCGGCTGCCTGCCTCTCCAATCGTCTAGCATAGATCCGAGACCGGGCACTTCCGGGGGATCCCATGAGCGCGGTGGTCTCCAAAGGCATGAGATCTGCGGGAGATCTAGTCGAAGTGGTGGTCATAGGTACAGCGGACAAAACTGAAACGTCTTGCGTGGGAGGCAGAGCGACAGGAGACGGTTGGGCCTCCTCATCCGAGATGGAGAGTGAAGCAGCCAAAGCAGCTTCCATGGTCGAATCGAAAGTGAAGTCGGTGAGGGCCCCCAGGGATATCAAAGGTGATTTTTCGGTGGGCTTCGGATTCGCGGGAGCTGTAAGTGGTGCAGACGACCTAAGGGTCGACTTTGAAGGTACTCTGGGCGGAGCCAACGACTGGGAAAGATGTCTAGATCTCGTCTCCCCCTTTCTGGGACTCTCCTCGATGACCCGCTCCATGACTCCAACACCGAGTCCATACCCATTCTCACCTTGAGACCAGTTTCTACTTGCGTCAGAAGCCGCAGCTGGAAGGGAGTGACTTGGAGGCAGAGGGAGTGGCTGCGGGACGTGGGGAATTTGGGGAACACTTGGAGTTCTCATATGCGGGTAGGTGTTGGTTTGCGTCCAACGGGGTGTTGAGAGTTCTCCCACTCCGATCAGAGCCCGACGATCAATGTTATTCGGATCCGTGTCGGTCGGGGAAGAAGGCGATGCTGGTGATTGAATGGGTTGCACGGGGTTGGGAGACGACTGCCGTGAACGAAGATAATATGAGTCAATTCTGCAGATGAGCAATCGTTCAGGCCGAGGGATGATCAGACTCACGAAGGTCTCATGTGACCGGTCCCAACAGCAGAAAGAGGGACAGAAGGGGAGGCAGGGATGGAGGTAGGTTGTGTCTCATTCGACCGCGAGTTCATGTGGTAAAAGCTCGACGGATCCACGGAGGTTGAGGGGTAGTCCAAGGTAGTAGAGCGGGGTTTCTGGACTGGTACAGGGGGTAAAGGTCGCGAGGCACGTTGAGTGGTGGTCTGTTGAGGTCAGCGTACTGTTCTGGACTAGCGTCAAGACCGTACTAACCCGGTTGAGATACGAGTCCGTCACTGCTCTTTGGGTGACATTTGAATCAACAGGAGCGAGTCCAAGACCGAGAGCCACCTGTTTCTTGTCCTTTTCCTTTTCACGTTCAGACCTCGGACTGAGATCCAAAGCAGCAGGGGCCGGTGCCCTTCGCCCTCTGGGTGTCGATGACATGGAAGTCATGGAAGAAGAGCTGATCAAGCGATCACGTGCTGGACTTGACATTCCATAATCAAAGAGACTGCTAGGAGGTGTGACGGGTCGATAGGGAAGAGCTTGAGGGTATACGTTTTGGGGCGTAGGACGGGTGTTGATGTTACGCGGGGGAGGAGGTTGAAAACCCATCATGCCTTCTCTCAATCGAAAATCGGCATCGTCGCCATCCCCTTCAGCATCCACAAATCTTCCCTCATCACTGCTTGCGCTATGTCTGGCAGGGCTGGGGTGAGAATGCGATTGAGAGGGACGTTGAGTGGATGGTCCGGCAGCGGCGGGAGGGTGGTCGTCATAGCGGTCGTGTCGGTGTGGAGAGAATAGAGGGTTGGAGGGTGACATGATAGTGAAGCTATATAGTGATCAGCGAGTAAGTCAATTATCTGAGTGTGTAGTACTCACAGCAAGGGTGTGAGGTCATGAGAGAGCGAGTGCCTGCAAGGGGGGGTGGAAAACTAGTGAAAGATGTAGAGGGTTCGTCGACAAGGATTCGAGCGGCCAGCTCAAGGTGACAAGTCAGGAAAAGTCGGTCATGGGTAACGGCTCGCACTAGAGTATGACTGAGTGCTCACTAGACAAGAAAGTTTTATAAGGATGGTCAAGAAGAGGGGTGCGCAATGGTGCAGCAGTCAGAGTAGGAAATACCACCTCTCGGGTGGGTAGAGGGGGAGGAGGAGGAACGCGGGATCAAAATGGATAGTGGGGGGCTCAAATAAATCACGTGGGGGTTATAGCACCCAGTGCATGCAAAAGTGTTCATGGTGCGGTCCTTCTATGGCTTGACCATGTCACTCTGTACCATACTATAATGCCGGATGATGACAACTACGATCCAACAGCTGATCTAGAGTATGAAGAGGTTGATGACGATGATCAACCGAGAACTTCGACAGCCGCCAAGGGAAAGCACAACGCTAGTGTGAACGGCCAGGCCGAGGTGAGTCTGTACTCCTATCAAACATGGCTCGCTCAACGCTTACATCTCAGAAAGGACAGGCGGTCTGGGAAGGCACATACAACCGAAGCTGGGATGTGGTACAGGAAGATGCGGAGGGTGGTTTACAGAGCGCTGTCGACAGTCTCATAGCTCGTGGTCGACGAAAGAGGTCAGTCAGTCTTGTCCTTAGCAAACCTATGTTGACTTTTGCAGAGCAGAGATAGACACACCTCTACGACGATCCATCATAAGACACATGTTTATCATCCTCGATCTGTCAGAATCGGTATTGGACAAAGACTTTCGTCCTTCTCGGTGAGGTATTTTACATAATCCAGTAAACTCCATCCATGAGCCAAGCTCATGTCTCAGGTTCGAACTGACCCTTCAATACATGCGATCATACGTCGTCGAATGGTTTGATCAAAATCCGTTAGGACAAATAGGTATGATTATCATGCGGGATAGATTATCAGAGGTTTTGATACCTATGGGAGGTGAGTGATGAACCCAATGATGACTGGGTCCATGTCTGAACACCCTTCGAACAAGAGCCAGCGACTAATCCCAGGTAATCCACAAGAAATCCTTTCCGTCCTCACTGATAAACGCAAACTTGAACCTTCCGGTGAACCAAGCTTACAGAACGGTCTGGTCATGGCTAAGGGAGGTATGAGGTGAGTAAAATTCACCCTATGGTCTGCTTTTGGACAGTCTATAAGGCTCTAGAGTGTGGCTGATCTCTAAGTCACCTCCCTTCCACTTCATCCCTCGAAATCCTAGTGGTATTCTCTTCCATATCAACTGCCGATCCTGACGGTCCTATCAACATTCATCAAGTCCTCTCCGATCTCTCATCCTCCAGAGTTAGAACTTCCATCATCTCCCTTTCTGGTGAAATCAAGATATGTCGTCAGATATGTCAACGAACGGGTGGAAAATTCGGTGTGGCAATGGATGAAGATCATCTTCGTGAATTATTATGGGAAACCATACCTCCCCCTGCCCAAACTCAATCATCCAACCCCACCACATTAGGAGTTCGGAACGCTCTGGCGGCAGGTGGGAACAGGGTCGATGGAGATGGAAGTAGACCACCCCCGGTCGGAGATCTCATGGTCATGGGCTTTCCGGTGAGATTACCACCTGGTGGTGAAACACTTTGTGTTTGTCATGGGTTGTTGAAAAAGGGAGGATATCTCTGTCCTAGATGTGGGAGCAAGTTGTGTGACGTCCCGACTGATTGTGAGGTTTGTGGGTTAATGGTGGTCAGTAGTCCTCATTTGGCAAGAAGGTGGGCCAGAAGCTTCTTTCGTCGCCATCTGTGAGCTGATAAAGTACAGTTTTTGGTTCTTATTCCCCGTGGCCCATTATGACGCTCTTACTGTTGAGACCACCATGGGGGATAGAGAAAGATCATCACCGACATGCTATGGATGTGATAGATCTTTCAAAACCGTTCGTCAATTCTATGGGCTTATACTTGTCGCTGATGGACAAGATGGACGAGACAGGCAGTGCGCATGTCGTCGATGGAATATCCCCCACAGGAAGATATAGGTCAGTCGTCCCACTGTCCGAATCCCTTCATTGTTTTCTCCGCGGTCACACAAGCACATGTCACAACGCTATCAGATCCGCATACATGCCCTTTTCGAGCTCACACACCAGATGCGCAAGATGTTTCAAGGATTTCTGCTCAGAATGTGATTTGTATATTCACGATACCCTGCATACATGTCCCGGATGTTCACAGTGATACCGGCGCGATAGTCCAGCATGAAAAGATGATATATGCATAGTTTATGGTGCTTACAGATGGATGAGAAAAGAGAATTGGATTAATATTTGTGTCGAGTGGAGTAATCTTCTAGTCAGCTCGATGTCTCACAACATGTCGCTGCCCGGGTAGCAGAATGAAAGACACGACTCGCCTTTGGGAGAAACGACCAGACCTCTCCCCTTTGATGCTCCCCGATACACGGTTTCGATGATGTCGATCATCTGCCATTAGCATATCGCATTGAAGAACTAGACTTGGCACACTTCTTGTTTCTCCGTTATGGCCCAGTTTCTATTCGTCAGCGCCTGCGTGGAACATCACGAGAAGTAAGGTCAGGTTGCGAGGGGAGAAAGAGAATTCCGCAAAAGCAGAAGGAAAAAAGACGACGCTGAGGTCTGGAACAATTCGACAAAGTAGTGGAGTCGAGTGAGAAGCAGATATGAATAGCAAATTAGATAGAAAACCGACATTTTATTGTTATTACCGGTTCCGAGATCAATCATGATGTGTTTGTTTCTGGGAATAAGCTTCTTCTCATCGCAACGCCGTATGCCATTGACTTTCAAGCGTGAGGAACATCAAACAAGTAGCCCAAGGCGGATGCCAAGTAGAAGAGCAGTTGAAAACACTGAGTCAATATTGACTGAGAACCAATCGCAATTGAAGGAGGCATGATAAGAGAGAGAGAGAGAGATAGAAAGGCTTTCTCACCGGTAGAAGAACATGACGGTACAAGGATCATACAATTCGTACATCTATTTATCAGCATGAGAGTCGGCCAGATATAGGAGCTAATCACCTTGTTGAAATCGGGTACTTCTGTGATATCCACTATGATGTCAGTTCCATCCTCATTTGATCTCTCAGTCTGCAATTCCAGGACTCTCCAACGCTTCTCGATAGCTTCCCACACAGTATGTCCAAAGAGTCACTACTAACGGGAAAGGATATTCCCCAAAGCTGAGACCTCTCCTCTCGACTCTCCAGGCTGATGACTGACCGACGTCGTATACATGAAATAGATGGGAAGAAGAGAAGGGATGAAAGAAGGAGACATACCCAGATAGATAACAGCGAAATTTTGAACCTTCTCGCTGACCCCATATAAAGTCTCATCCATTGCCATACAATCTGAATCGTGGTCGTGTCCGAAACGAATGACAACTACTCTATCTTCTTCCACTAGTATGGACTGGAAGTCAGTATGTAGCACAGAACATCTTCATACCGCGTTCAGCTGATGAGATGATGACCCGTATATTCTTTTCATGTCTGCGGTGAGGAGAAGCAAATAGGAAGATAACAGGTTGGGTGGAATTGACACGATGGCTGATGGTGAGGAGTCACATAACGCATATGATGGGGAGGTAGAGAGAGAATTACTCGACCGAAAAGATCGAGGGGAAGGAGGGAGAATCATTGAGAGGAGGAGAAATGACTCACTTGATCAACATGCCATCCAGAGTGCAGGCTGCATGTCAGCTCGGACGACAGACAAGGGGGAAGAGCTCACTGAGTCATAAAGTACGACATGATGGGCGGCTGTCGCTGATGGGTTGGAGTAGAGTCAACGCGGGCCAGATGGGGAGGGAGAAAGGTGGAAGAGAAGGGAAGGAGGATGCAAAGTACGTCGGGTGGCGATGAAAGACGTTTGGGGCGACGGCGACGATTAGGATGGCGGAGAGCGTGGTATCTCCGTCGCCCCCCATATACAGATATCACTCGTATTGACGACTGGAACATGATGCTCGGCTCCTGTGGCATACTGGTAGAGTAAAGAACAGTGGACTGTGCAGCAAGTAGCACACAGCATACATAAGTAGCCCGATTCCCTGTCCCCATTCGTTGCATCGGTTTCATACTTACTCGACAAATGCCAGACTCTTATTTGTCACTCTATCTCTCGTTCGACTCATTCCGTCAGATCACATGGCAGCCTGGAGACGCTTATCAGCTTCTTCATAATTGATGACATCCCATATGGCCTTGAGATACTATTTCGTCAGTCACAGCCTCGTCCACATTGTTGATAATCAACTCACATCCGGCTTGACGTTCTTGTACTGAAGATAGAAAGCATGTTCCCAGATATCAATGCCAATGATGGGGACCAAGCCTACATTATTAAGTACCACTCGATCTGGCTATAAAGTGGAAGTGGACGTACTCAACAACGGATCTTGGTTAGGCGTCGTAGCGATTTCGAGCTTTTTCGCCTTCTTGTTCCATCCCAACCAGCCCCAGCCGGATCCTTGGATGGCGGCGGTCTTGGTGTTCATCTCAGACTTGAGGTTGTCAAGAGACCCGAAATCAACTTCAACTTGCTTGATGAAAGTCGAAGAGGGATTGGGTTTAGCGGCTTCTGATCCGGTAGGGGCGAGATTGGTCCAAAACAGCTGAATGTGAGTGATATGTCACTTCTTTCTTCATAAAGAGCTCGAGAGTGTGCATAAGTCGATCGCAGCGGTCATATTGGCAGATTGTGTCTTATTTCTGTATATACTCGAGCTAGGGGAAAGGAATGCGCCTAACCGAGTGATTACTGAGACGTCAGCGGGTATGCTTCAATCGTTAGGAGAAGAATGGACTCACATGTGTCCACCTCCATTGAATTTGAGAGCTGCCTGAAGATCAATAGCACCCCTGATATCACCGGAAGCTTGGAAATTTGCAAGAGCCTCTTCAGCAGCGTTCAACCCGTTGACGTAGGTCTGATGATGCTTGGTATGGTGAAGGGTCATAATCTCTGCCGATATAGACGGTTCGAGGGCCTGACAATTAGCTGGATCCATTCTTAAATGTGACTCTCCTCCTGTATGAGCTTTACATCAGGCGGTAGCTGACAAGGATAAGGTGAAAGGGGAATGTGAACTCACGTCGTACGCATAAGGCAGTGGAGGGAGAGAATGTTTCCCTCTGACAGACATTGACCCGGTTCGAAGAGTTTGAAGAGGTAGTTTTGCGGCGTGTCTGACTGTAGTTCGCAGAAGAAGGACCATGTTTGATAGTGTGAGGTTATAACCAATGGAAGGACAGGAAGGGGAAGAAACTATGGTAGGATGAGGCAAATGGAGGAGAGGTGAGGCCTTTGTACGTCGCACTTTCCCACGGTCGTCGACTTTTCCCCTCCACATTCGTCCTCCCCCTTTCCGTGCGTATGCAACGGACACACACCGTCTGGACCCCCCTAGAGTCTGTCTGACCCTGTGTCCTTCGAGATACACCAAACTGACTCAACCTGTGCAGCATGCTGTTGGAATTCCTCAATTCCGTGCGATACCGCCACATTCCTTAGTCCGTCTCTAATTCCGTCCAAGTATCATCTTGAAGCTTTTTACCTAGATGTTCTTCATTGCTTTCTATGTGCTGAAGTTCATCTAGGTGAGTACACTTATGCATTGCTTTCTATGTGCTGAAGTTCATCTAGCAACTTCCTCCTGCGATCCACACATTTTGATAGATTAACAGTCGGAAATACCACTACTGTGCGCCCAAGCATGGCCGAACTTGAGGACCAATTGTCACGGCTGTCGAACAACTATCTTCTAGTAGACCGACGGTCGACGAACCTCGGCTAACTTGGCGCTTCTAAGTCGATGTCTCACCCAACCAGGAGGGCGCAGACGTCGAAAGGAGTGTAACTACGGCGTACTTCGGCGTAGTTACTCTAACTGAGGTTTTGTTCTACTGATGGCGATGTATCTCGATTGTATATAGCTATCTCTATGTCTTTCACTACTGACAACAATCAAGGATCGCTGAAGAACTTCAGCGATCTTCTCAGCTAATATTATCTACTCCTCCTAGACGTTCATCCAACCCTCTCGCGCTTTGACGTACTTCAACGCACTTCGTCCAACTTCCCCGAGCCCTCGGCCATCCTCTTCCTCCTTCGACTAACTCCGCCTAACATCGCCGCACTTCTGCTCCCATTGTCCCTACTTAGCCTAACTCCGCCTAACATCGCCGCACTTCTGCTCCCATTGTCCCTACTTAGCCTAACTCCGCCTAACATCGCCGCACTTCTGCTCCCATTGTCCCTACTTAGCCTAACTCCGCCTAACATCGCCGCACTTCTGCTCCCATTGTCCCTACTTAGCCTAACTCCGTCTAACTTCGCCGTACTTGGTGTCAGAAGTCCTGAGTTACGTGTAGAGTAAAGAGGTTAAGGCGTGATGGGGTTTTGATGGCCAAAGGAGGGTCATTGTTGGTGGAGTAATCGAGGTGTCACGACGTAGTTCGTGACAGTCGCCCCCTTCTTTAGCCGCGAACGTCCTCGTGAGCGATTACACCTCTGTCGTGGCAAGAGAACTTAGCAGCGTAGTACCCCATTCTCTCCCTCCCCATGACCATCCTCTACTCTTCTGCTCTTTGCGCCGCACTTCGTAGTTGGGCCTCCTTTCACTCCAGAACCCGACAATGAGACTCCCCTAACTTCGTCGAGGTTTGCCGTAAGAAGCCCTGTGTCTTTTGTAGGTGAGACACGCTTCCTGAATGGCAGCCGAACAACACCGTTGTTTGTCGAAGTAACCCTCGCTTATATTGAGATGAGACACTATAGCGTGGGAATTTTGATCGTCCCTGCGATGCCTTTTGTTGATGAAACGCGAAGTTTGCTGCATGTTGACGACGAGGGGTTAGGTTTGATTATACTAAATACTGAGCAGTTCGTCGAGCTTCTCTCTTTTTCCCATCTGCTTTCAAAACTTTCTATCTCTCTTACCTAGAAAACAGATTTGTTACCTTGAATCATCGCCTCGAGTTTTATTCTCATTTAAATATCTTAACGTCATGGCCCCTTCTACTCCTACACCCAGCCCTTTCGCCGCCATGAGGAACTTTGGTGGTATGGTGTCATCTGCTCGTGAGTTTTCATCGATACTCACCCTACCTCGCCGAACTTGGCTGATGTTCAGTTTCTTTCGGCGACAGATCTCGCCAAGTCTCCTCCCTCGGCCTCGGCACTCTCTCTCTGGGGGAGCCGTCTGGCGCTGCCCCGCCCCCTCGCTCCGCCTCTCCCTCCGCTGGTTCTCCCGTCCCCGTAACGGGTTCTCCGGCCTCCTCCTGCCGCCACTCCTCGCCGTAGGACGCCCGCCTTTCGTCCTGGTGAGTCTCCGTCCTCCTCCGACCAGGACTCGCTCAGTGGGGGCTCGGAGTCGGGTGATCGACCCGACACCGAAGAAAGTGAGGATGATGATGATGGTGGGGAGGGTAGGATCGATAGTGAGGGTGAAAGCGAGTTAGAAGAATACCCGGATGATGATGTGGAGGTGATTAGTGTAGAGGACAACAACGTAGATAGTCCTGAGCGTGAGTTCTTCGTCCAACCCCTCACACCTTCGCCGAACTTGGCCTTGTTTATCTGTTCTTTAGCTCTCCAAGACATTGCTAACTCGCAGCCGGTCCTGCCCCTCCCCCTGCTCAAATTGTGGGCCAGAAACGACGCCGTTCCCTCTCTTCTTCTTCTTCTTCCTCTTCTTCTTCTTCCTCTTCTTCTTCCTCTTCCGGGGTTCTCCCCCCCCCCAACGCCATCGCCGCTGCCGCCGCTGCTGGTCCTGCTGCCGCCGCCCCCGTCGCTGCTCCCCCCCCTTCTCCCAGAGGGGAGCCTTCGCCCAAACGGGTGAAGAGATCACTGCGGGAAGAAGAGTACTTGTGGGAGAAGATGAAGTCCGAGCCTGGTCGTTGGATCGCGGTTGGTGTTGACGAAGCGTGTGATCGTTGCCGGTGAGTCCACCTATTCGTTCTACGCCGAAGTTACTCCTGCTAATTAGTAGACGTGAGATTATCACGTATAATCGTCCAAACTGGCCCTGCCTCAAGGCAGTCAGGCCACACAACAAGGCCCTCCGTTGTGCTTCATGCACGTCTGGCCCCTGCTCCTTCTGTCCCGTTTCCTCTGCCCGGGACATCCCGCCCCGTCCCTCCGACTCTTCGCCCTTCCCCCCTCCTCAGACTCCAGCGTCTGCCCCCCGTTCGCGGGTACCTCCTTCGTCTCTCCGGTCGGTTCGCCGTACTTCGCCGGACCTCCGCCCGTCGCCTCCGTCGCCGTCGCCCTTCGCTCCTGTGGCCGGCCCATCACGTCTCCCGGCTGTTCCTCCTTCGTCTTCTCGCCGTCCTTCGGCCTCTGCTCCTTCGGCCTCCCGTCCTTCGGCCTCTCGTCCTTCGGCGCCACGTCCGTCCTCTCCAGTGGTAGCTTCTCCTCCGGCTCACAGCACCCGAAGTCGGCGTCCTTCTGTTCCTCCGGCCACTTCGGCGGCCCCTCCCGTCACCCCTCCCTCTGCTTCCCAGAAGACACCGAAGTCTTCTTTAAAGAAATCAAAAGGGAAATCTAAAGAGAAGGAGGTTGCCTTCAATGATGGTGATGTGGAAAGTGAAGATACTCAGCGTGCTGGTCCCTCTGCTCCCCGGTTGTCCCTCGTCCACCCTCGTATCTCCCTGGACGTCCGTATTCCTGAGGACGAAAAGGAATTCGCCACTTATCGTTCTCTCGTCCTCGGTCTCACTACTCAGCTTGAGGCCGCCCGAAATGATACATCTCTCCTGCTTGACTTCTCTTCTCGTCAAGCTAACGCTTTAAACAATCTTACTGCGGCGTTAGTAGATGTAGTCAACACTGGGGCTCTGGACGACGAAGCAAGGACAAGGTTAGCGGACGTCTCTCGCCGAAGCCTTACTGAGATAGCCGATGTTCGCCGAAGACTGTTCGACACCCCCTTCCTAGTCACTCCTATGGCGTATGAGCCACCACCGTCCCTTGACTGGTTAGGTCGCCGTAGTAGTTCTCGTGTCCCAGCTTCCGCCCAGACTGCTCTCGACCTCCTCAGTCTTCCCTTCGAGTGTCTACGGACCATACGTTCTCTGTGGAGGACCCCGAGCATGCAAGCTGCTCGAGATGTCCAGGACTTCGGTGACTTCTTTGGGGCTATGAATCGGGCATGGAATGCTTCTCTCTCTACTGCGTTCCCGTCTGAGACTCTCGATCTACCTTCGGTCATCGGTAGCCTCCACACCAATCCCGCGGGACCGAGTAGATCGAAGGAGAAAGGAAAAGGAAAAGGTAAGGGTAAGAGTAAGGACAAGTGAGCGGTACGTAGCTGTAATCCTATGTTGTATGCAGTATGTTCTATCTCCTAGCCCTTCGCAGTCGCCCTTCCTTTGGCTTAGTAGGGTGAAGTTCGTGGAACTTCGCCAATATGTCATCAGCTCCATCGACGTTCTCCACTGGTTCCCATGATACTGAATCGTCTGTTCCTTCGTAACCTAACCACTCCACCAAGTACTCTAACTTTCCTGACCTCTTATTTACTCTAGAGTCCACAATATCCTTTACCTCCCAAGACTCTCCCACATTGTCTACTTCTACTGGCCCAGGTGGCTCAGCTTGCTGACCAGGAAATATTGGAGGGTGATAAGGACGGAGCAAGGAGACATGGAATACATCATGGATACCTGCCATCGTTCCTGGTAATTCCAATTTACAAGCATGAGAACCTACCTGCCGTACTACCTTGTACGGCCCACTTTGCTTAACATCTAACTTCTTCATTGGTCTCTTCGTCTTAATATTCTCTAACGACAGCATCACTAGGTCTCCTTCCGCGAAGTTCGGCGTAGTCCGGTGTTTCCTATTGTATCCTTCGGCGTACTTCTCATTAGCTTTCTCAATTCCTTCGATACAATCTTTGTGTATTTCAGTCAAGTCTTTTACCACCACCGTAGCAGCGGGCACTTCGACCTCGCTAGCCTTTATCTCTTCAGCCCAACGAGGGTGATATCCATAGTTCGCATAGAATGGGGTTTTGTTTATCGCAGAGTGCTGGGTGTTGTTGTAAGCAAAGCTAGCTCGAGCGAGTAGCTTTGACCAGTCGTTCTGCTGATAGGAGGTGAAGATTCGAAGATACAGTTCCAAAGACTGGTTGGTTCGTTCGGTCTGTCCGTCAGTCTGTGGATGATATGCAGTAGAGAGATGTAGTCTTATTCCGAGACTATCGGTCAAATTCTTCCAGAACTTGGAGGTAAACTTCGATCCCCTGTCCGATACTATATTCTCTGGCAACCCATGCTGGGCCACCACATAGTCCAATATCAACTCTGATAGGCCGGCTGCGGTTAACTTCGTCGTAGTCGGGATAAAAATGGCCCATTTGGTCAACCGATCCACCACTACCAGGATGGAATTATATCCATGGGAATTTGGCAGCTCCTCGATAAAATCCATCGAGATGCTAGACCAAGGTTTCGTAGCTACCTCCAGTGGTTTAAGCTCCCCATGAGGTTTCTGCCTGTTAGTCTTCGCTCTCTGACATACCGCGCATCCAGCAACATAATCTTCGACATCCTTCCTTACTCCAATCCAGACATAATCCCTCAGGACTAGTTCAAGGGTCTTCGCCGAACCTGGATGACCGGCCAAGGCTGAGTCATGTCGCATCTTCATGATCTTCAGCCGAGCATCGGCGTAGTTCGGCACATAAATGCGATCGTCGAATGTGAGGAAACCTCTTGAGTTCCACCCCCCACGAAGGATTAGAGGAGACCGCGAACTACGGCGTAGTTCGGTGATTGATCCTGGTTCCTGCACGTTATCGTTACACGTAGGATGAGAACACTCAGCGCAAACGACTCCTAATAATTCTTCTCTGACCCCTTCTATGTCTTCGTCCTCCTGAACTCCAAGTACTAGATCCATAGGGTCCACAAGATCATTTTCCTTTACCTCCCTTGTCCCTTGCAATGCTCGAAGGAGGTGACGCAACTCCGACGTGGTGGCGTCAACTTCGTCGAACTTCGGCAGACCTTGGATAAGGTTGCTCTCTTGTACCATGGTACTTCCTTTCCCGGAATGATAGTCCGCCCGTCTAGATAATCCATCTGGAAGACTTGCCTGGGTTCCTGGCCGATAAACCATTTTAAACCTGAAGTTAGCTAGCTCCTCTACCCACCTACCTTGCCGAGGACTGAGTTGTTTCGGTTCCATCCAGTAGGTAAGGTTTAGATGGTCGGTAAGTACTGTGGTTTCTACCTGCAATAATAAGTGTCTCCTTCTTCTGAAACCCTCCACTACAGCGAGGAACTCCTTTTCTCCTACCGTATAATTCAGTTGAGCTGTGTTGAAAGCACCAGACTCAATAGCTACCGGGTGTTCTTGACCAGCCGTGTTGATCTGCGAAATTATGAACCCCCAGCCGAAGAACGACGCATCTGTCTGTAATATCGTCTTCAATGTAGGGTCAAAATGGGCTAACACCGGCGCAGTACACATCCTAGCCTTCAACTCTTTGAAGGCTGACTCCTGTTCGACTCCCCATACAAATGGTACCTCCTTCCTTGTCAAGTCATTGATAGGTCTAGCAATCTTCGAGAAGTTGGGGACAAAGCGCCTGTAGTAGCTTACAACTCCAATGAATCCCCTTGACTCTCGTAGATTCTTAGGACGTGGGAAGGAAGTGATGGCATCAATGTATTCTGGGTTCACCGATACACCTTTAGAGGATACCACGAAACCCAGAAACACCACCGAATCTCTTTCGAACTCGCACTTACTAGCTTTCACGTACAGGCTCGCCTTCCGCAGTACCTCAAAGACCTTCGCCGTAGTTCCTCGTAATTCCTCCAACGTATTCCCATAAATGAGGATATCGTCAATGTAGACCACGACTCCATTCCCTAGTAGCTCTCTAAACACCTCATTTAGGAAGTGTTGGAAGACCGCGGGGGCGTTTCGCAGCCCATCACGAACAACCAGAGATTCAAACATACCATACTGTGTCCTGAACGCCGTCAGGTGTTCATGTCCCTCTGTCACCCTCAACAATTGGTATGCTCCGATTAGATCTAGTTTGCTGAAATACCTTGCTTTTCCAAGTTCCTCAGTAATTTGACCTATTAGAGGGAGAGGGTAGGCATCTGGTATGGTCGCTTCGTTCAGTTTTCGATAGTCGATGACCATTCGCCATTGTCCTTCGGCTTTCTTCGGTATCATAAACATTGGTGAGCCGTATGGCGAGTTACTTGCCCGAATTCGGCCAGCGGCGAGTTCGCGATCTAGTATGTCTCTCAGCGCGCGTCTCTGATCTTCTCCTTGAGCATAGAGGGAGGCGACCTTAAGGTTCGCCCCCTCCTTAAGCTCAAACTTCAAATCGTAGGACCTTGAAGGGGGAAGGGTCTCTCCTCCCTTCTTCGGATTAAAAACGTCAATGTACTGGTGGTATTGTTCAGGAACTACCTGGAACAACTCGTCTTGTTCCTCCGGGCTCAGCTCTTCAAGCTCATCTTCGCCGCGGAGGTCTATCGCGTCCGTCGGAGTTGGCAGCCCTATGGCCGCTAACTTCGCCGCACTTGGTGGGGTTGGGATGGGAAATTTCACCGAGTTGTCTCTTCCATCAAGGACAACCCCTTCCTTCCTCATCCAATCCCACCCTATCACAACATCTGCGTCGCAGAGCGTTGTTACATCGAGACAAACAGATCGCACTTCGGCGTCCTTCGTCAAACTAAATCCGACTTCGACAAACTCGGTGATGGGTCCAGCGACACTCACCGAGCCGTCGAACATGTGAACGGGTACGCTCACCTGATATCGCCTCTTTTCTACACCTATCTTCGCTGCCGCCCTAGGGCTTATATATGAACAAGTAGCTCCAGTGTCCCAGAGCGTAGTTAGCTTTATTCCATTAATGAAAATGTCCGATTTAGGTTGATCCCTGGAAACGGAAGGGATGAGGAGATGATTATCGACATTGCATGAACAAGGGGTACTGAGTGGTGTATTTTTGTATTCACAATCCTCTGGCTCCATCAGCTGTGTTTCTTTTATGGGTTTGGGAATGGTGGCCGAGAGAATATGGCGGACCCGCCGAGCCTCGCCTACTGCGACAGGTCCTCTTCTTTTCCCTGGTCCTCTTCCAAATCTACTTCTCCTCCAACCGCATTCAAGTTCCTCCTCTGTCCGAGAGGTACTGCGTTCCCTCCCGATCCTCCACCACGTTCTCCGAACTTCCCCCCCCATGGAGGCAACAGTCCAACCTTAACCTTAGCCTCCCTTACAGGGCATTCCTTCAGCCAATGTCCTGCTTCACCACACTCGGTACACTTCCCCTCCTTCCTCCTTGTCTCCCTCAGATCGGAGCTCGGCCTAGGCCATCTTCGGCGAACTTCGTCGATGTTTGGCGGTGTACTCTTTACCACCGTCGACATCATAGCCGCCTGGACACCACCCTGCGCCGAAGGTTGCCCCTTTTCCCATTTCTTCTCTTCTTTCTTCTCCGTCCTCTGACTTTCCACCACTGTCGTTGTCCTTATCCCTCCTTCCCTTTTCCTCTCTGCCTCCTTCTCCACTTGTCTCCTCCACAGGCGGTTGTCCAAGGGAATCACAAACTCCAATAGCTCTTTCACAGTCCCAAACGATCTACCGTGTCTTGCAATTTCATCTAGAAGGTGCGATTTTAGTCCTTTCTTGGCTCGGTCAACTAGGTTTCCATCATCAGACCACTTAAGAATCGCAACATGTCGCTGGAAGGCGGAGAAGTAGTCCGAAGCAGACCCGGTTTGCTTGAGGTCGTTAAGTTGTCGGGCCGCAGTTCCTTCTTCGTCTGGATCACCAAAGTTAGTCTTGAGGTACTTAATGAACTGATCGTGTGTCGTGAGGTACTCAGGAAGAGGTCTTTTGGATAGATCGGGCTGCACTGCAAGAAGAGGCGTTTCGCGTAGATGAGAGATCATGAAAAAGACTTTCTTAGTGTCGTCGGGGAAAAGATGAGAGTTCAATTCGAAATGTACGTCGCACTCAGACAGAAAGGCGGTTAACTTGTTCCGATCTCCTCTCCAGAGGTCTGGGTTAGGTAGCTTTATCCCCTTCCGTTGTTCGCCCACTACGCTTGGGGTCGCCGAAGTTTGCCGTCCCATGGCGTACCTCACTCCTTCTGATATCCCTTCTGCAATCCCGCCCACTGTATCCCTTTCTCTTCTCTGTTCCCATTCCTCCCTACGCCTTCTCTCCTCCATCATGTCTTTGTTCATATTCGCCACCATCTGCATCAAGGCCAACACCACCCCTTGTGTTCCTTCTTCTCCCAAGTTCGCCGTACTTCCAGTGTTTTCTCTTGGGCGTGGGGTTTGGTCTGATCCAAGTGGGGATCCCGCAGGTGGGAGAGCATTAGACGGAGGAGAAGGAGGGTTAGAAGGCACCGGTGGAACGAATTCATCTCCTTGAATTGATCCCCCCACACTATCCTCCACTCCAAGGTCCTGCCCCATTGCTCTGCTAAGCTCCTCCAATGCTCTCCTCTCGTTCTCTTCCATCCTGTCTCCATCCCTACTCATGCCTCGCGTAACTCTCCTTTCTGGTTCCATAATATCTTCGTACTTCTCCGAGGTTCGCACGGGTCGTCGGTAAGAGCGATCCTTGATACTGTCACGGCTGTCGAACAACTATCTTCTAGTAGACCGACGGTCGACGAACCTCGGCTAACTTGGCGCTTCTAAGTCGATGTCCCACCCAACCAGGAGGGCGCAGACGTCGAAAGGAGTGTAACTACGGCGTACTTCGGCGTAGTTACTCTAACTGAGGTTTTGTTCTACTGATGGCGATGTATCTCGATTGTATATAGCTATCTCTATGTCTTTCACTACTGACAACAATCAAGGATCGCTGAAGAACTTCAGCGATCTTCTCAGCTAATATTATCTACTCCTCCTAGACGTTCATCCAACCCTCTCGCGCTTTGACGTACTTCAACGCACTTCGTCCAACTTCCCCGAGCCCTCGGCCATCCTCTTCCTCCTTCGACTAACTCCGCCTAACATCGCCGCACTTCTGCTCCCATTGTCCCTACTTAGCCTAACTCCGCCTAACATCGCCGCACTTCTGCTCCCATTGTCCCTACTTAGCCTAACTCCGTCTAACTTCGCCGTACTTGGTGTCAGAAGTCCTGAGTTACGTGTAGAGTAAAGAGGTTAAGGCGTGATGGGGTTTTGATGGCCAAAGGAGGGTCATTGTTGGTGGAGTAATCGAGGTGTCACGACGTAGTTCGTGACACCAATCCACTGAACCCCTCACTATCAACAAAGTCATCCTTCGATCGTCTGACAACTACAAGGACTGGTTGCGCGCTGTGACCAACCGCCTCATCCTCAAGGATGTCTACGATGTCGCCTCGGGTCTTGAAGACTACCCAAAGCCGGTCTTTGAACAGAAGAAGTGGATCAAGAAAGATCGACAAGCCTGGGCTATTATCAACGGCGTCCTCGATCGTTCCATCCACAATGTCCTACCCTCTGAACTTGCTATTGTGTCTTCAAATGTGACATTCGAGACAATTCAAGGGGAAAGTGGTGTACAAACGATTGCACTCTCCCAATCAGGTCTCCTCCTTGAACATCTCAAAGCAAACTACTCTGCCGCCAGGGGCAGCCGACGAGTTGAATTGTTTCGCCTTATCTGGAGAACGAATATTCAAGAGGATGAAGACCCTCTCCCTGTCATCTCTGGCATGAGAGAAGCATACAACGATCTCGCATCCTCCACCAAAACTGTCTTTGCCGACAACGATCTGGCAACAGCCATTCTCCTTTCCCTACCTCCATCTTATTCAACCATTGTTCAAGGTCTCTCTATGCGTGATTCTATTACTTCTGCGGATGTCATTTCCACTGTAGGGGATGAATACCGTCGACGAACTGCTCAGGAGACTGAACAAGCTCTTCTCACTCAAACGAAGACCAAGGTTTCCTCAAGAAAACAGCTTGATGGGAGCAAGAAGGAGAAGAAGTGGTGCGCACATCATAACTCCAAATCCCATAACACCTCCGAATGCATCGCCCTCAAAGCTCTTGAGTCTCGCGCGCCGACATCTCAACAGACTTCAGCAAATCTGGCACAACAGAATCGGGACAGTATCCATTCCTCGAGCGACATGAACATTCTCTATGCAGAAACTCCCAGTCACACTTCATCCTTCTTTGCCGTCGCACCTGCCTCTGCTCTCCATGCTACACCGGTCGCTTCCCTGTCCAGCCTGGTCATCGACTCCGGCTGTAGTACTTCTATGGTCATGGAACGGTCCCTCCTCCATGACATTGTCACTCTCCCTTCGGCAGTACCTCTCCGTGTTGGTAACTCTCAGACAGTCTCTGCGCGCGAGCGAGGTTTCCTCATCTGTCAAGGTCTACACATCCCAACTCTATATGCACCTGCTCTGTCACGAAACCTTCTCAGTGTAAGCCAAACAACTGCGCTCACTGCTGGTTCATGGATCTTTCAAGCCAATCACGCCGAACTTCGACTATCCAACTCCAAGACTATTCTTCTACAATCCACTCTTGTTCATGACCTTTACATTCACACCCCGCCTTGTACGTCTACCCTACCTCATCAATCTCTCAGCGCTGATTCCCACAGTCTCCTCAAAGAATGGCACGATGTAACGGTACTGGAAACACGACGACTAGGTCGCAGGTTGGGTCGAACTCGATGGATGTCTTGTGGAGATCTAGGGGCTCTGGTGCTAATGGATCGTGTCTCCTCTGCAATCGATGTAGCCAAAGAATGATATTGAAGAATCAGCAAAGTTGGTACTTTGCTGATTGTACTATATACTGTCTACGGCTATCCTTGTCCTCGTCTCCTTCCTGCTGCAAGCGTCTACGTACATACTCGGACAGGTGAAAAACCGCTTTGAGCAAACCCAGTGGGGAAATCTCGAAAGGGGAAAACCCGTCCCTACCTACTGCAGCACTGCCTCCAACTCCCGCTTTCCTCTGTCCTAATCCGTCGAACTCGATAGAGTCCTCTCGATTCGTTGTTACCCCGTAACACACGACCGACTTGGACACTTTGGAGTAGACAATGTGATTCAGATGGGTAAGGGGGGACGCCTAGGAGACATAAGATATTGGACGGGAGATGAGATCACAAGTGACAGGGATGCATTTCAATGTCCCTCCTGCATAATTGGTGGGGGTAGACGGCTTCCCTCACACTCACACTCTCCAAGATGTCATCAACCTCTTGGAGTGCTTCATATGGATCTCTTCGGACCCACACACACAACTGGTTACCATGGTGAACGATATCTTCTCACCATCTATGATGACTACACTCGAAGATATCATGCATGTCAAACCTCTCAAGAACAAGACAGCATATGAAATTGCCGACTCTGTGAATGAATACATCACATATGGTGAAACACAGACCGGATTCTAGTGCAAGGCAATACAATCAGATAGGGGGAGTGAATTCATGAGCTCAACTTTCCAATCCATGGTCAGACACCGGGGGATTGAACACCTCTTGACCAGTCCAGACTCCCATGCCCAAAATGGTCGAATTGAACGAGCTATCTTCACCATCATGAACAGAGGTCGGATACTACTTGCTCATTCGGGCCTCCCACTCTCCTTCTGGCCATTTGCGGCAAAGTTTGCAGTATACACTCTCAATCGCTCTCCAGCTGGACCCTCAAAACACCTTCCTGAAGATCTCTGGCGGAAAACAACGAACGATATAACCCATCTCCAGCCCTTTGGTACCAATCTCTGGTTCAGGAATCACATTGAGACGGACAAACTCAAACCTCGGTACATTCCAGGACGGCTTCTTGGCTATGTTCAAGGTACACATAATTGCATTGTGTTGGGTCAAAACAACAAGATTACTCAATCGCGTGACATTGTCTACACAAAACCTGGACCTGAACCTCCCATTCCGTTTGGTGAGGGGGGGAAAACACACGCCCATACGCCAGCTGCAAAAGATACATACACCTTCACTCCAATTGACATCTCGACATCTCAAAA